AAAAGAAGAAGATAACAGGAGAGGAAGAAAAGGGGAGTATGTCAGAGGGGGAGACGAACCATGAGAGATGATGGACTCTGAAAAACAAACTGAGGGTTCTAGAGGGTAGGGGGGTGGGGGGATGGGTTAGCCTGGTGATGGGTATTGAGGAGGGCACGTTCTGCATGGAGCACTGGGTGTTATGAACAAACAATGAATCATGGAACACTGCACCAAAAACTAATGATGTAATATATGGTGATTAACATAACAATAAAAAATTAAAAAAAAAAAAAAAAGACCAAGAATCTGACACTTAACTGACTGAGCCACCCAGGCACGCTGCAACTATTACCATTCATAAATATCTTCAAAACATATTTCATTCAGTGATCACACTTAAGATGAAACTCATTTAAAAGAAAAAAACTGTAAGATGTGCAATATATATAAACTCTGTCCTTCATATATTATTCCCTAAAATGATAAAGATAAACTAAGGGTATGAACTGTCATCTTTCTGAGACCCTTTTAAAGTTTTCTAGGTCAATATTTCTAGGGTAAAGTGTTTATAGACATATAATAAATAGCTTGGGGATAAAAGAAAAGAGTTCCCTGGATTGAAATGATCATTAACTACCACACATCAGCTGGAATGTTAGAAGTTAAGAAAAAGGATATTTTTAACATCTACTTCTGGAGATACCGGGCATCAGCTAACAATGCTTTCAAATTTTAAAGTTTTACTGAATTTGGACTTATGTAATCAAGTCACTACTTCTGAACTGAAAAAAATGAATTATAATTCAGTCACTAGACAGCACTCAAAGAATTTTAACATTTAATGTGCATTTTCAGGATATTTTTACTAAACTTAAAAATGCACACCTATAGATTCAAGAGTTTTAGTGTATCAAGTATTTTATACAAAAACACGAGTAAGAAGTTGTTTATTAACAAAATTTTAAGTGCCTACAAATTGTAGCACATGGCCATGCAAGTTACTCTACTTAAAAACAATATAATTTTATTTCCTTTACCATTTTCTGTAGTTTAGACTTTCAACTTTTTATTAATTGAAATCTTCCAAATTACTAAGATTAGGAGATGAGATGCTACCTTTTACAAAGGACTGTTAGAAAGTATTAACATTATGAGGCTTACTTTAAATAGCCTCTATTAAAATATCCCTTGAAAAGTATTTACATTCTTCTATGGCATGAAGAGGAAACACACAAAATTTTCCCATGTATACATTTAATTCTCTCATACCTGAGGTAAAAACTGGCAAAGATTGCCCACTTGAATGTTTAAGGCTGCAACTTGCTCTTCTACTACTTTCTGGGTTGTAGATTTTTTGTTGATGAACCAAGAAGACTGATTTTTTGCCACATCAATCTCACGGGTGATTACAAGATTTCCAGAAGTTCTGAACCTAGTTAAAAAATAATTAAAAAAAAAATCTTTATGTTCAAAATACATGTATCATTTTAGAAATATAATTTCCAAAATTCTCTTGCAACAAAGGCTTCCAGACAGGATTATTTTAACTTTTATTCCTTTTGATATTTTGGCCCCTCCAAAGAAGGAAACCTTGATATTTTATTGGTAATAATACATAATTAACCACATGTAAGTTACCACTTATTCAACATCACAATTATTTAAACTGTTAAAAACAAAGCCAATACTAATTTCCAAACACTGACAGAGGATTTACATATCTGGACTTATTTATCCTTTAATTATTATTCTCCAATCACATGCGTTGACTGCAATTCAAAATGGGTTGGTATATTAAAGCATATAAAATTAAACACTGCAACTTCCTCTACTTGGAAAATATATGAATGAAAACCAATTCTTGCATAAGCAGTTCAGACATCAAAACTAGCCCGGTCACACAAGCCCATGCCTTCCTTGTCACGTACTCCACTCTGAATTCAGAGGGGACTATATCATACATCCCCTTAAAGGAACATTAAGCAATACAGAATCTGAAAGAAGGGTATTTACTTATGTCTTGCTTTTAGAAGTACTACTGCTCCACACCTCCCATCCATCTTCTTCACTGGGAATCAGCAGCATGTGGTAGAAAGATAAATTATTGGTATTCAATGGCTAAATGACAATGATAACTTGTAAATGTTGTGTACACAGACTATACTGTAAATAGAACACTCCAAACATTAAGATTTTAGAATTTAAAAAAAAGGTAGTTTTAAATTTTCATTTCCAGAATGACTTAAGTACTCTTTCTGATCTTCTTGCTAGAAACTACAAATAATGAAATATTAAAATATGTTCATAAATGCATTTATGAGTTAGCATGAAAGTAAGTAAATCTGGCCTAAATCCCGGGGCAGGTGGAGATCCAGAAGTTGAAAAATGAAACTGGCTTTTACCGTGGGACCATTTGTCCCACCAAATAACCTTACACATTCATTTTCATAATCTCCCAGGAGAAGGATTACAGACAGGCCCCAAACTACCCAAGGTAGAGAGTCTAATAAAAATCATCCCCAAAAGACTATACCCTCAATGTAAGGGTAAACTAGAACTACTCCATCATCACCTCCATCATCACCACCATCACCACCAACAGGTAAACTGCCTGTCTCAAACTACGGCTTGAACTGCAAAAAAACCCCAATTTCTCCTAAAGACAGTTAATAACCACAAGCCAATCTAAAACACATTAGTATACTGAAGTTACTTACATAACATACCTAAGGCTCAAAACTGCACGAATTGAGAATTGTGTATATTTGGATCCTGGATTGAAAGTATCCAATGGTCTGTTGCCTAAGTTAGTGAAAATTCCCTCAGCAGGAATCTACCTTTACCCTCAAAGAATTAACACAAATTTCAAAGAGAAAGGGGCAGCTTATTGGAAACACACATACATGAAAACAAACCATCAAGAGTAAGAACTAACACGGAGCAAGATGGCGGAGGAGTAGGAGACCTGAATTTCGTCTGGTCCCAGGAATCCAGCTGGATAAGGATCAAACCATTCAAACAACTACAAACGCAACAGGAGATCAAAGAAAAGAATAGCAACAACTCTCTGAACAGAAAAGCAACCACTTTCTAGAAAGTAGGACGTGTGGAGAAGTGATTCCGAGACAATATTGGGGAGGATAGACGGCAGGGGAGGGGACCTCCGTCAGCTGCTACTGTTAAGTGCTAGAGCCGCGGAGCACAAAATCGGAACTTTTATAAGTCTGCTCCGCTGAGGGACGTCACTCCAGTGGCTAAGCAGGGGGTGGAACCCTCACTGGGACAGGTGGTCTCAGGACCCTCGGGGTCACAGAAAGACTGGGGGTGCCTGAGTGCAGCAGAGCTCCCAGGTATTGGAGCAGGGAAGCACCTACAGAGACAGAGCCGAGGAGTGGGCTCGGAGATTGGGGTTGCCATTAACCGTGATCTAGCAGCACAGTCCAGCCACTGCTCCTCCAGCAGGGACCCAACAAGCGGCAGATCCAGGGAGACTCCCCTCCCTGCCCGGGGAGGAGCGGCGCAGAAGCGCACTGCAGGGATCTGCTGGGTTTGGAGACCACAGGGGGTCGGGCGCCAGAGATGGAAATGCTTGGTCACAGGCCATGTGAGCAGGGAGTGCGGCTGGAGACCTGGGAGAAAGGAGTGACTGACTTCTTTTCTCTGGGGGTGCACTGAAGAGCAGGGCACCGAGTTCTCGGCTCCTCCAGGTGGAGATTAGGAGGCAGCCATTTACACTCTCATCCTCCAAAGCTGTAGGGAAAGCTTGCAGGTAACAAAAGGTCCCGAGAGCAAACCGGAGCAGATTACTTAGCCCGCACCGGAAAGGGCGGGGCAATTCCGCCTCCGGCAAAGACAAACCACGGCAACAGGCCCCTCCCCCAGAAGATCACCAAGACCAAGTTTACCCATCAATGAGAACAGCAGAACTCCAGCGCTAGGGGAATACTTAACATAGAATTCATGGCTTTTTCCCCATGATTCTCTAGTCTTTCAAAGTTAATTTTTTTAACTGTCTTTTTTCTTTTGAATTTTTCTTTTTCACTTTTTCAACCAAAATCTTATCAATCCCTTTTTTAAAAAAAATCTTTTTTTTTCATTTTTAGAGTCATATTCTAACCCTTCATAGTAGTTACCCTTATTTTTGGTGTGTGTATGTGTGTGTGTGTGTATAAGTTGTTATTCTTTAAAACTCTGGGATACAGTTTCTCCTAACAGATCCAAATATACCCTAAACCTCTAGTGTATGGCTTTGTTCTAGTCTCCTGCCTGAACACATTCTCTTTTTTTAAACCCTCTTCTTTCTTTCTTCAACTAGCTTATCAATTCCTTTTATAAAATCTTTTATAATTTTCACCTTTACAGTCATATTCCATCCCTTCATCATATTAACCCAACGTATGTAAGTTTTTCATTCTTTAAAATTTTGGGAGGCACTTTCTTCTAACAGACCAAAATACACCCAAAATCTAGTGTGTGGCACTGATCTATGCACCAGCCTGATCATATCTGATCATATTCTGGCTTTTTTTTTGTCTTTTTCCTTTCTTTCCCTTTCTTTTCCCCCGGTTTCAGGTCTTTTCTGATTTGTTTAGTGTATATTTTCTGGGGACGTTGTTACCCTGTTAGCATTTTGTTCTCTCATTCATCTATTCTCCTCTGGACAAAATGACAAGATGGAAAAAATGACCTCAAAAAAAAGAACAAGAGGCAGTAACGACTGCCAGGGACCTAATCAATACGGACATTAGTAAGATGTTGGAACTAGAGTTCAGAATGATGATTTTAAGGATACTAGCTGGGCTTGAAAAAAGCATGAAAATTATTAGAGAAACCCTTTCTGGAGAAATAAAAGAACTAAAATCTAACCAAGTCGAAATCAAAAAGGCTATTAATGAGGTGCAATCAAAAATGGAGGTTCTAACTGCTAGGATAGATGAGGCAGAAGAGAGAATTAGTGATATAGAAGACCAAATGATGGAAAATAAAGAAGCCAAGAAAAAAATAAACTACTGCATCACGAAGGCAGAATTCGAGAGATAAGCGATACCATAAGACGAAACAACACAATTGGGATCCCAGAAGAAAGAGAGAGAGGAGCAAAAGGTATACTGGAGCAAATTATAGCAGAGAACTTCCCTAATTTGGCGAAGGAAACAGGCATCAAAATCCAGGAGGCACAGAGAACCCCTCTCAAAATCAATAAAAATAGGTCAACACCCCAACATCTAATAGTAAAACTTACGAGTCTCAGAGACAAAGAGAAAATCCTGAAAGCAGCTTGGGAGAAGAAATCTGTAACCTACAATGGTAGAAACATTAGATTGGCAACAGATCTATCCACAGAGACCTGGCAGGCCAGAAAGGACTGGCATGATATATTAAGAGCACTAAAGGAGAAAAATATGCAGCCAAGAATACTATATCCAGCTAGGCTGTCATTGAAAATAGAAGGAGAGATAAAAAGCTTCCAGGACAAACAAAAACTAAAGGAATTTGCAAACACGAAACCAGCCCTCCAAGAAATATTGAAAGGGGTCCTGTAAGCAAAGAGCCTAAAAGTAACAGAGACCAGAAAGGAACACAGACAATATACAGTCACAGTCACCTTACAGGCAATACAATGGCACTAAATTCATACCTTTCAATAGTTACCCTGAATGTAAATGGGCTAAATGCCCCAATCAAAAGACACAGGGTATCATATTGGATAAAAAAACAAGACCCATCGATATGCTGTCTGCCAGAGACTCAAAGACACCCCCAGATTGAAAGTGAGGGGGTGGAAAACCATTTACCATGCTAATGGACACCAAAAGAAAGCTGGAGTGGCAATCCTTCTATCAGACAAATTACATTTTAAACTAAATACTGTAATAAGAGATGAGGAAGGACACTATATCCTACTGAAAGGGTCTATCCAACAAGAAGATCTAACAATTGTAAATATCTATGCCCCTAACATGGGAGCACCCAATTATATAAGCCAATTAATAACAAAATCAAAGAAACACATCGACAACAATACAGTAACAGTGGGGAACTTTAACAATCCCCTCACAGGGCCGCCTGGGTGGCTCAGTCGTTAAGCGTCTGTCTTCGGCTCAGGTCATGATCCCAGGGTCCTGGGATTGAGCCCCGCATCAGGCTCCCTGCTCAGCGGGAAGCCTGCTTCTCCCTCTCCCACTCCCCCTGCTTGTGTTCCCTCTCGCTGTGTCTCTGTCAAATAAATAAATAAAATCTTTAAAAAAAAAAAGATCAGATTCACATCTGAAGACAATGGAATTACACTTTGTATGTGTTGAGAAAACATCTATCAATGTAGACTTTTATATCCAGCAAATACATCTTTCAAGATTCAGAGCAAAAGAACATCATTTTTAAATAAAAACTGAGCATTCCACTAGAAGATCCTTATTAAAGAAAACTTTTAAA